ACGTAAATCGGAGGAGTATAATTCCAAAGAGTGCTGAGTCAAGGCCCTTTTTAGGCTTTGCTGCTCGAGATCCCAATATCCGGACGCATCACGCACCTTCTTTAAGTGTCTGCGCTCTTTGCCTTCTTTTTCGTCTTGTCAAACAAAGCAGCTTCGTTGGCCTCTTCGTCTCGGCCTTCGCCATTGTTATGCAGCACAACCAAACGCAGAAAAGCCGCGAAGTTGAGAAAGATGGGAGCCATCAGTGGGCTTGGCCGGTTTAGTACTTAAGGATATAGGTTAAGGCCCAGCTTGTTTGAGCCCATAATGTGGCTGGACACAACTAGCCCATCTTAGAGACTGTCTGGTTTTGGGCTCCATTTTGTGACTGATGACTTGTACAGTTGTACCATACATACGGCCAAGAAGAGTAAAATTAAATGCTCTCTGCCTCGTCATCACTGCCTCAGTTATTCTGGTTTTGGCGCCGGCATCAACCTGTGCGTCTTAGCTCTCCTTCGCTATCTAGTAATCTCTCAATTATTGTCTTCGTCTCAGCTCTCATTTTCTCATTTTTCATGCGCGTTATTCATTGTTAATTTTGGTGATGACGTCGGAGAAAATGCGGCTTTCCATCTGACATGTTTTGGTGGATGGTCTAATCTAATTTCTTGGAAATTTAATTTTCTTAAAAAGATAATTGTGTCAGTATTCCTATCTAGATCGAGATACAGCCTGCTCATTAATCTATCTTCTGTGCTGAATATCTCACAAGTTTCTTACTATCTGGAAAGCTAAAAGTTCCGTGATCAAACGCTGCTGCTTCTTAAAAATTATTTTCATGCTTACTTATCTGAACTCTTCTGCTTACTTGTTTCTGCTCCTCAAGTTTATATTTCCTACGTTGTGATTTTAATTTTTATGCTTTTGCCATCATGGTGCTTGATAGAAAAGCCTGAGAAAATGATGCTTAGTTGACTGATGTTGAAATGTAGGGAAAATGGATAATTATTGTTCCTTTGCTTTTTGTTCTATAATTGAACTGAATATTTGCTCCGCGAAAATGAGCAATTTGGAAGTCCGGTGAATATGATGAATATTATGCTCTAGGTTCATCCAACTCTGCAGGGCCACTAATAGATGGAAATAAATCATGGGATTATGTGCCATGCAAGTTAGTTGAACCAGATATGTTAGACTTTCATTTGGCTGTGGCCTTAACTTTGAACTATGTTTAACCGATGATTATTCTCTCGTTTTGATGTAAGCTGAATTTAGATTATCTTTGAGTAAATTGGTGGTATGCATGCCTTCTTTATTGTTTATATTTTTGGCGTAAAATTGCCTGTATTTTTATTTGGCTTTACTTCTGTACCATTTTTGGTACTTAGGCAGTTTGCAATCGTTAACTGAATGCGTTTTATGTTTGTTTCACTCTCAGCTGCACTGTTTTCATTGCTTGGTACTGGTAAGCTGAGCTGGACATGGTTTCAACTTGAGCTAGATATGCACCAATACATGGGGACCAATAAATGGGAACAGGAAGCCTTGTGTGGAGTTTTACAAAGAAACTTATCACGTTTGGGCTCATTACTGTCACAGTAACAGATCGTTTCCTGACCATTGTTCCAGTTCGTTGTGGCTCTATCTCTCCCACATTTAATCCTAAAACCAGCTCTTTGGTGGGGAATATTTCTGGTAAATTTCTTGTTAAAAGAATCATCTGAGAGGAATCCTTTTTTTTTTTTTTCCCTTTAAACTCTTTCAGATTACGATGTTTGACATTTGATTATTCTGCAGATGACTATGTCTTGGTTGAGAAATTTTGCCTCGGAGACTATAGGTTTTCGCGTGGTGATGTGGTGGTATTCCGGTAACCTTTTTTTGCCCCTTTCATTTACTTTATTTATTTCATCTATGTTTTTATATCGCATAAATAGATGTGTTTCTTGTGTGATGCACGAGATAAATAATAACTTAATAGTTTGTGAAACATTGTTTATTTTTTTAGTATTTAGATCTTACTGAAATGCGTAAAAAAAAATCAGACATAGAAAAAGAAGTTGTTGAGCCCAAGAAGAGCTTATGAATAATGCAGTTTCATCTAGATATTATTACTTGTATTGATATTGAGTTCTTTTCGTGCATACCATGTACTATATTTTCTGTATGAAAGTTAGCCTATCAAGCGATGTAACTAAAGAGCTAGATGTAGTAATCACCAACTCTGAATCTTGAAATCTTTTGAGTCCGATGAAAGTGTCCATTGTGCTGCAATTTTTTTCAAGGTTGCATTTATTTGCTTAAAAAGTTGAACATAACTCAGTTTACTTATGTTTCTTGAATGGGTCTGCAATAGTAGTGAATAGGAATGGGAGGAAATATTGGATGAACAATGAAAGGACTCGGGGGCTATGGCATGTGAGTTTTCCAGCTTATATATTAAAGACTCTTGTTCTTCATTTATTCTGATGTATAATTTGATAGCCTCCTTATCACTGTACTCATAATCAATGATATTAACCATGTTACCAGGATAACTCATTTTGTAAATGCCGAGCATTTACAACTGAGTTCAACATTTTTATTTTGAGATTGCATAATTATTACATTCTGAACTTCTGCAGCTCCCCGTTGAATCACAAGGAGACACACATAAAGAGAATTGTTGGATTACCTGGTGAGTGGTTTGGTGCACTTCGTAACTATGATGTGCTGAAGGTTCCAGAAGGACAATGCAGCTTCCAGCCTGGATTCAACCTCATTGGGTCCTGTAAGCCTCCATTTCTATACTGGAAGCAAGAAAACAAACATTTCATGAATGATGGTGGCTAAAACTAAGACTTTGGTGGCGACATGTTGTCATAACTGAACATTTTATTACCCTGTTGGCCAAGGTTATAGAGTTCAAATGTTAGCAGGAGTTCATTGGTAGCTTAGTATTTCACTCTGTAGTTCTCATGCTTTCTATCTCAGGTATCAAAATGCACACCACAAAAGTCGACCAACTCATCCTTAATTGCTAGGACAACAATTTTATCCATTGCATATAGTAACTACGCTGGCTTATTACAAAGAATTAGAGGCGAGGAGCTTCCTTGTATACTATCTATTGATTGCGTTGCTTTATGTATTGAAGAAACTAATATTCACTATGCTTTTTTTTAATTAAATCTTCTTGCTCACTGACTTGAACTACTATGTAACTTTTGGGCGCTCATGACAGATGTTGACACTGAGCTCTAAGCTTATCTGTCCTTTAATGTTTTACGAGTTCTTTTTTATATTTTCCATGGGACACATCACTTAATATTATATTTCTTGATAGAATAAATAAATCAATTGTTTGTAGTCGATCATGGCAACGCAGCTTTGTGGCAAATGCAGAGTATTTTGATGTTATAAATCTCAACCTACAGGTAACCTAAAATTTATGTGCGCAGATTCCTTTGGGTTTAGTTCGAGGAAGGGTGACCCACGTTGTATGGCCTCCTCAAAGAGTAGGTGCGGTAAAGAAGACCCCACCAGAGGGATTTTCTTCTTCATTGTTGACTCTTTAATAATGCCAATCCCTTTGGCTTCAGCAGGACGAAACAAATTTTTGCTCGGATTATTTCCATTTGGATAGATACTGATGTATATGCTGATTGAGTGAGGATGGCCCCAAAAAAAAAAAAACAAACAAACAAACAAAAAATTAAAAAAAAACAAAACAAAACAGAGGATACTCTTGTTGATTTGTATGGATAAAATTATTAAAAGGCATAACATAGCAGTTATGAGATTGTTAATAAATTAACGGATATGCTCCAAATTTTGAATTTTGCAATGACAGTTTCTTAAATAAAACAAGTTTTTTATCATCAATGATGTCCAATGCATCATAGAATAACTATGTGAAAAAGATAGAAGAAAATTCTAACTAAATTATTAGCTCTTTATAAATACCAATTTTAATGCACACATCTGTGTTTGTGTTGGGAATAAAACCAACCTTTCCCCCTGAAACCTCCTATTTAATTGTTGTTGTAAGAAATGAGTCCCCTACATATAACATGTCCTATTAAGTCTAACCAAACCAAATTGAGGTAAAGACTATCTACAATGTATGTCCCTAAGATTTAATGTAATGCCAGTAAAAGCAATTAATGCTTGTTTCAGGAAACGTTTTTCCCCCCCAGAGTAGAGCTTTTTGCATATTGCTTTGCACACAAAATATCTATGCAATTGTGTTTTTCTAGCTTTAGGACTCCCTGCTTCATTCTTTGCATCCTTAAGGCTTAAGGATCTAATGTTGTAAAGGTAAGGAGAAAAAGTTATCTTTAAGTAAGAGTGTTTATCATTTAACCAATTTTAATCACACCTCTCTAATTAAAGTATAAATGTATAATCACAAAAAAAAGAGAGGAGTCAATGGAATTGCGGTGGAAAGAACCCGATCTTTCTACCCTCTTCATTAAAGTCTGACTAATTTACAAAACCCAATGCATCAGCATCATTCCAACACAAAAAAGGCAGATCTTTCTTTCTCCGCTACAACCTTTCCCAACACAATTTTTCTCATCTACTCACATGCACTTGCCTGCTAAACGCTGCCTTTTTTCTTTCCAAACTACAGAACTTGACCTACCAAATTTTAGCTGTTTTAATTCAATAATTAAGAAGGAAATTTATTTAATCAACATTAGATTCATATGCAATCACTTTTATATCGATTGCTAAATTATTTAACTAAAATAAAATATGATAAGTTTGTTTTTTCCCCCGATAAATAACATGATATGCATATAATTTAATTTAATCAGAAAATATCACCTCTCAAAATAATGTACTTATTATCTTCTTATTATATATTTGCCGTATTTTTATTTAAAGCATTGCTTTTTTATTAAATACCCAAAAAGTTACTATTGAATAACTGTAAATTATAGGGACTTCTTTGCGAGAAAAAAAAAATCTCAGAAGTTTATGACGAGCTTCATCGGTGGGAAAAATAATAATAATAACAACGAGCGTCATCTTTCCCGGGTCCTAAACGAAGCCCGTTATTCACAAAGCCCGATTTTCACTGACCTTCCAGCTACGGACTGATAGGAATCGAATGCCTTTGTACTTCTTCCTGGTAAACGATTCAATGAATTCCTTCTCTGTCTTCGTTCCTGATTCACACCCTCAATCTGTATTCTTTACGTCGCCATATGTATCTAACATTTTTCTGAATTATTATTCCTTGTTAGTTTGGTCACGTACTTTGAATTGCAGTGTCTGATGTCTCCTCTGCTAGATTGATTTTGTCTATTTTTTTGGTTTGGCTATTCTGGGTTCCTAGAGGTTAATATTTCTCATTTTTCTTTCTGGGCTTGTGATTTACTTGATGTCTTTCTTTTCTCCTTGGTCGTTTCTTGAAGGAAAATTCGATTCATTATTCCTTGTGGGTTCAAAGTTGATAGATTGGGTTAGCGGGAGATATGGGAAGGTTGTTCTTGATCAATCTAGAAGGAAACATCTACAGCTGCAAGCACTGCCGTACGCATCTTGCCCTTCTTGATGATATTATATCCAAGGTTTCATTTCTCTTCCTTGAAACTTGAATTTTACTTTCTGGAATTTGATTGTGCAGTTTTCTTGTGGACATTTCTGTGTTTTCTCTGGAAAATAGACATAAGCTAATTGGGTAACTAGGAAGTCTCATTATTGGGATGATTTGGGGCACACAATGAACCTGAAAGGGAAGGAAGGAGTATGATTTTAGAGGAGGTGACAAGATTTGAGGAAATCAATTGAAAGAAAAATCAAACATGTCCAGATATATATTCTAACCTCTTAAATCATATCGTGTTGTCTTTGAAGCATTGCAATTATAGGGAGGAGCTGTATCGGTGTCTGTCTGAGGGTCTTTAATGTGTTTTAAACTTTCACATTAACAGATATACTGGACTGTCCTATTAGGAATCTAATCATCACTCTTTGAATCACTGAAACACATATTTAAAGACATATCAGATCCAAGTCTTCAATGTCATTTCTCGTGCCGATGCTTCAACTGGTTGTGTTGATATATTCTTCTGTTTTCACGTGATTCTTTGTCTGTAGAAGGATCTTTTCTTTGTGCTGTATAATGCATATTTTTGAGGGAGTGGGAAAGTTTCACTCTGTACAACTTGTCTTGAAGTGTTTAAATCAACTGCAACTTCTGTTATATAAAGAAGTTCCTTGCAGAGGTGACTCCTGTAATCCAATGATGAGATGATTTTCCTTATTAAGGAGGAGAAATCTAATTGGTTAAGCACATAATATTAGTGATACAGTCCTTCAACCAGTCTTCAATGTAGCAGAACTTGATGACTTCGATTACCAATTTTTTCAATCATGAAGTTGTGGGATTACAATCTTTAATTGAAAAATCCAATCAACCTTCAGTATTTATGTCATCATGTGGATCTTTGTAAGCAATAGAGTTGGTTTTTTTTTTTATCCTTATTATGTTGTCCATGGCACTCTTTTTAATTAGTCTTTTCCTTTTGTGACTTCTTGTTTAAAAAGAAGAGAAGTATTTGGGAGACTAACATTTTAATTGACTTCATCTTCCTTTCCATGATTTCCTATATGCATTCTGAATCCTTAGTTTGTACTATGCATTTCACAAATTTCTTGCATCAAGAAAATGGAATCATGCGTGCAATCTAACTCTGCTTTTTTGTTTTCTTACCCCTTTCATAGTCTTTCCATTGCAGGCATGGGAAGGCTTACCTATTTAATGAAGCGTAAGTGTTATTTCAAGTCGAAAAAAGCATTAGAAGTTGCTAATGTAGATTCTGCTTATGCTGCTATGTTTTTAATTTTAACATTTCTAGAATTTGCAATATCTTGAGAGAAACCCAAGAACTTGGAACATGCCTCATCAGTTCATCTTGAATGCGTTGATGGGGAATTCTTCCAAGTTGAAAAAAATTCAATTTCTAGTTTAACGTCAGGGTGAACTTATGAGGACTTTTTTGACATCCTGTTTTCTCTTCTTTATGACAGTGTGAATGTCACAGTTGGAGAGAAAGAAGAGCGGATGATGATAACAGGACTGCATACTGTTGTTGACATATTCTGTGTCACATGTGGGTCCATTGTTGGATGGAAATACGTAAGGAGCAACTTTAAGAGCTTATTTTTTGGAATTTACTGGTTTTCTTGTCATGCTATTGTTACTCTAAAGTGTTCCTTAATGCCTATTCCACTTTTATTCATTTAGGAAGCTGCACATGAGAAAAGTGAAAAGTACAAAGAAGGAAAGTTCATTCTTGAAAGGTAACCAGTCTGGTCTATTATTCTTTACAGTACTTTTTGGGTATCACGATGTCCCTAAAGTTCTGAACTTCCCTCGAGCTCAACTCTTCTCTTCAGGCAATTTTAACAGTGTACTTCATTATGAGTCTGAAACATTTAGAACTTCTAAAACGCTTTCCTAAAGAATCGAACTGAGCTAACCCCTCTGATACTAGATTGTTATCTTTTGTGGAGGTTTACAACATTTCATTATGTTGACATTTGTTCTTTTGGGCGGTTCATTAATACACATTTTTGGTGACATGATCTGTTCTTGAGTAGGTTTAAGGTTGTTGGCCCTGATGGCAGCAGATACTTGCAAGCTCAAGAAACTCATGTTGCCGGAAGTGATGGTGATGACGCTTGATTTGCTCATCTTAGGATCATTCTATTTTCACATTCGAATTGTACATTTTATATGTTATTATTCTCTTTCAAATATACCATATCATCATTTAATTAGAATAGGTTGCTTTGAAACTTACGAGCCTCTTCCTCCCTTCCCAGATGATTTTAAGATACTTTTTGCCTCGGTGTCATTGAATATTAAATTGCTGAGGCAAGAAGAAACCAGAAGCATTGGCTGGGGGAAAAAAATTCTTTGGTATAATAGTTCACGATGTTGAAGAGAAATTACAGAACATATGACAGTTAAGAGCAGGGCAAACACCAGAATATTATTCCCTTTGAGAACATAACTGGAGTATTAAGTATTGACAATACATTTTAACAAGAGTCGCCACTGAAAAAATATGAGCAGACTTTGAAATATTCATTCAGCTTCTTGATTTAGGTATTTCCTCGACATGGGTTTAGGTACATTTAGTGTGGGCATAAATCAGTCAAAATTATATTGACTAATTTTAAATTTAATTTGCTTTTCTGGTACTGCCTAATTTTTGTGACTTAATTGGACTACGTAACCGGCTGGAAGCTTAGTTCAATGATTAAAACATACAAACAATCAGATAACTTGAAGAGAAACTACTGCTACCCCAAGAGTTTTCCCCCCAAACTACTGATACCCCTCCTGATCTTTGTTATTATTCGAGACACATATAACTTGTGTTCTTAGAGTGTAGTAGTTTTTTTTTTTTTTTGTAAATGTAATATGGCATGTAGCTTCCTTGTCAAACCTTGCATATTGTTTCGGCATAATATGAGGGCCAAGGCTATCACTTGTGTGGCTTTAATCTCCAATTTTAATAAACTAAGTTATCCTTTTTATTAAAAATTATTAAACTTACATATAGTATGAAATAATAAGAATGATCTTATTTAGTTGTATTCATTAATGTAGATTATGTTTTATTAATTTATTCTGCATGCACAAAGAATAAAGTAGGAATTTGTAACAAGTGGTAAGAAGTGGGGATATAATGGTGCATATTTAATGTCAAGAGTTGCTGAGAGAGTAAAAGAATATGGTTTTAAACTTGACAGCGTTGGCATAATGTCTCTATTTAGCTCCGTCTCCATTTCCTCTCTGCTTACCATTTCTATCATTAGATCAATATTCAATGGCTTAGATTTAATATATTAGAACAATATTATTATAATATTGTTTAGTAAAAATACACAAACAAATTTAACCTATACAATTCAAAAATGCGAAGTGCATGGATAAAAAGTAAAAAAATAATGAAATATTTTAATAAAAATCTACCAAGACGATGTAAGCAGATGAATCTCTACCAATTGATATATATATTTCTTACTCTTCCAGTACTTAATATATGATCTAATTATTGAGTTGTTTTTTGTCCTAAATATAAGATCTATTTCTTATATTTATCAATTTTCTCTAAATTACCCCTATAGATACTCCATCAACCATAATCAAGTAGGAGAGGGAAAGTAGATATTAAGACAAATGTTTATGGTGTTTTAGAAAAAATGTGTCACATTTCTTATAATTAACTAACTTACCTAACTTCCTTAATCTAATCAAATTAATTAAATGGGTCTTATATTAAGGACCAGAAGAGTATTTAATTAATACTACCTCTGGTCCTTAATATAAGACATTATTTAACTTTTATTTTGGTCCTAAATATAAGACCTCATTCCATTTTGTCTCTAATATTTTTGTATTTTTTTCAAGGTAGTCCTTCTAATAATTGTAGTTCCAGCCCACACATTTGATTAGTAAGGATATTTTAGGAAAGATAACACATATTTATTACGAAAAACTAACTTGGTTTATTTTTTAATATCCTCAAATTAGTCAACTAGCCCTTATAATTAGGATCGGAAGTAGTATTATAATAATATTATTATAATATATTAAATTTTAATCATTGGATGTTGATTCAATGGTAGGGGTGGGTAATTACACAAGAAATGGAGAGAGGAGACATCCCCTTCTCTGATCGTATCGCCCTCTAAAATCAAGATTAAGTAACCTTATCTAAGAAATATACTACTCCTCCAATCCTTACTATAAGACCTACTACCTCCGGTCCTTATTATAAGACCCCGTTTGACTTTTTGTTTGGTCCTAATTATAAGACCCCAATCCATTTTATCTCTCATATTTATGCATTTTTTTCCAAGACAATCCTTCTAATAATGATAGTTATAGTCAATATACTTAATTAGCAAGGACATTTTAGGAATGACAAAACTTATTTATTACAAATTACTAACTTAACTTACTTCCTTAATCTCTTCAAATAAGTCAACTGGGTCTTATAATTAGGACCGGAGGTAGTATTTAACTAATTTGATTAGATTAAGAAAGTTAGGTAAATTAGTTAATTATAAGAAAAGTGACACATTTTTCCTAAAACATCATAATCATCTTTCTTCATACCCTCTCTCTTTCTTCTACTTGATTATGGTTGAGGGAGTATCCATATGGGTAATTTAGAGAAAATTGAGAAATATGAGAAATGGGTCTTATATTTAGGACCAAAACCAACTTAAGAATTAAGTCATATATTAAGAACCGGAAGAGTATTATTTAACCTCAGGTCACAAGTGAAGATTAACTTGTTCATATGTAAATGTAAATATATGTTAATTAAGTATAACATAAACATATATTTATATAATGATAAGTTATTCAAGAAATAATGTGGAGGCAAAAACAAATATTGATCCTTAACACAACGCAAATAGAAAGAGTAATGAAATTACCATTATAAGTAAGAACTTTAGTCCACAAAATACAATAAGTTACTCGGTGGGTGCTGTCTATTTTCTTTTTTGTTTTTTTAATTTGAAGGTGGGTGCTATCTATGAACAACATGGCACTGATTTATTATGAGATATTGCTTATATTTTGATTGACTCCAATTCAATCCCAACGTGATAGATATACATCAAAACAGATGCACCTTTTTATTGCTAGATATTGATAGGAGAAAAATCACATTATGCAACTAAATTCTCTGAATTAAAAAATTACTGCCAAAAAAAATTATTTAATTTTTAATTCCTATTAATTAGTTCTCTTTTCTCTGGACCCTCTTGCGAGCTATGGTGTATCGGGTTGACCCATGGGTGTGCTGCCAAAAACCCAGCAAGGATCCAGTTGTACGATAATACCAAATGAATCACCTTTTGTCCTTTTAATTTCTTAAAAATTAATCCTGCAATTTTCTGATGAGTAAGAAAATATTAATTAAAATGGAACATTTCTAAAAATGAAATTTGCAAAAATTTGCTCCAACCAAAAACGAAATATGAAATTTTGTACGAAAATAAGTGTTACTGTCCCTTTAAAGGAGTCCAAACTGATTTTGCAATATTGATCACTAAAATATTGACCATTTATTATTTGAATCAAGTTTTGAAAAAATAATATAATATTATGGAAATAAAGAAAGATTATACAGAGAGCAAGCATTTTCTTTATAAGAAGTTATAGTATATATTAACTATAAAGAAACATGTGGCTTTACCAAGTCATTAGTATAAAATATTAGAAACTGGAAAATTTAACTTTAATAAGCAAATAAGAAGAAGAAAATTGCGGGGCTTGGTGAGCGATGCAGTTCAAACTTCAACACTTGGATTTTGATTTATTCTTTCCGTCCGGGGCTCCATCTACGACTTATAAACGTGTGGGCGTGCATTTGCCCCAAAAGGCAAGAGTCATGTCTAAGAACTATGAACTAGACTAAGTTTGTATAAAATCATTATTTGACCTTTTACCTAAAAAAAATCACTATGTGACTGAAAATGACAAGTACAAGTATTTATTATTATGTATCACCTCCCGTACTTAATATAAGGTTTTATTTGATTTTTATTTTGGTTCTAAATATAAGATCTCAATCTATTTTATCTCTCATGTTTATGTATTTTTTTCCAAGATAGTTCTTCTAATAATGATAATTCTAATCTATACACTTGATTAGTAAGAATATTTTAAGAAAGAGAACACTTGTTTATTACAAATAACTAACTTAATTTTTTTAATCTCCTTAAATTAGTTAATTAATTCTTATAATTAGTATCGGAGGTAGTATTTACGTTATACATTATCACGAAATTGGTTCTATGATCGTAGACGTCTTCATCGTCATGTAAGAACCGATAATATAAACACACTTTCACCAGTGGAATTGGTCGAGCATAATTTTTTTTTTTCAAATAAAACTCTTTTGAAGACCTTTTATCATGTTGAACTCTGTCTTGAGGCTGAAACGGAGACGCGTTTATTGCAGAATCTGTCTCATTAATTATGCCTTATATTGCTCATTTTGAATTTCTCTGCATCATCGTCATGGGCGAAATAGAGTCATATAGAGACATTTGATGTTGAAAATTTTTTCTGACCAAAAAAAAAAAGATGTTGAAAATTTACAATATAAAATTCCATCCTAAGTTGACAACAATTGCTATGCTACGAGATTGTAATAATACCATGACTATAAATAATTATTTTCACAAAAAATTCAATCATCGAATGGTAACTTCCAGTTTGCTTTTGATTTTCCCTTTTTTGAAAGACTAACATTAAAACCATTTAATTAATGGAGGCCATATTCAAGTGATGCCTAACCACACGCTAACGCTGCCACATCAATCAATTTAAATGAATATTTGGGCGTATGCTACACACAAACACATAAAACATAAATAATTTCTGGAAAAGAATAGCCTTGCAAGTTCTTTGCCTGGTAAGTATGAACAATTCAAAAATGCATACTGTAGTGTGAATATGTGGGTTTTCTCTGAGTTGGTTGGATATTTAACCTTTTAATGTTGCTGTCCATTGGTTGTGTTACTGCTAATTCAGCATAAAATGATTTTGTAGGTTCCAAAAGTAAATATGAAGCTCTAGATTGACCAAAAAGGGCTACCATTTGCCGTGATATGTCTTCTACTCGTGTTTCTTCGTGATGAGGTTTATATTATTGATATCGTTATATGTGCATGGGGCATTAATATTTCCTTCTGATGATTATTTTGAAGCAGACCAGTCTTTCTTCTTTCCCTTAAAACAAAGAAAAGAAAAGGAATTTCCCACAAATTCATCTTAATTTCACATTTTTTTCCTTTAAATATAGATTTTAATCAGAAGATACTATAAGTAGTTTCTTGTGAGTCCTTCAGACGCATGAAGACTTTGTGAGCTACTTACATAAGTATGCATGTCTGATATAGTAATATGCTTCATAGAGTCATAGCATATACTCCTATGGTCTATTTATAGTATAGAGAGAAAAAAACATTTTTTAGTCCTATTTATAAGGCACTGGGAGAAATTTTTTGTATAGATGTATAATTTTACCTTTCATTTATTATTGCATTGACTTTGTTTACATGAGATATAATGTATATTAAATAGAGATAAAGTTGAAAAGTTGTTGAATTTTAAATGAGAGTTAATAAGGTTTAAAGTTTTCCTTAGTCTGTATGAAGCATATTAGAAATGACTTATAAATAAGATCAGAAGAGTGTACATTAATCCAATCATCTTGTCATGCATCCACAGCATGTTAATTTAATTTTTAAATTTGAAATGTGATTAAAATGGTTTAGACATTAGAAAAAACAATATAACAATGGTAAATGTGCTTAGAATGAAGAGAGAAGTTTCAAGTTTTCATGAAAATTAAACCCCATGAAGTATTCAAGCTGCAAAACTACTCTTCACAAATGTGCTACACGCCCATTACCTTGTCTGTGCTCTTCATGTTTAAATTTGTTATCATATTCTCAATCTCCCGTGCAATTTCTTTTCTTTTCTTCTTTTTTGGTCGTCAGTGTAGCACAACAGAGTATCAGTCGGAGAGAATGCATTTTATCAAGGCGCGTATGTAGTAGAATCATGCTAATCAAAATACACTTATAAAAGGTACATTTATAAATAAAATTATATATTTAGCTTCTAAATTTTAAAATTAAACAATTTTCTACCAGTGTGAAATTAATAGAGTATACTTTGATAAATTATATAAACAATGTTATCTATCTATCTATCTATCCATAGTAACAACTATTTTTAATCAGGGTTAAGATGAACACCCTGAAATATTTTCTTAAATACATCCAACACTTTAAAATATTTTGTGATCCATCTAATATTTTAAATTATTTTTTTAAGTGCGCACGCTGAAATACTTTTTTTTTGTCTTGATGTTAGATGCACATAAAAATATTATATAATGCTAGACACATTTTAAAAAATTATTTGAAAGTATTGGTTGCATTTGAAAAAATGTTTAATATTTCAGGTGTTAATTACACCTTAACTTTTTTTATTATTTGTGTTTGCATGACATAGTTGTTCTTTTTTTTTAAAAAAAACAAAATATAGGTGTTCATTCGAACTTTGAATTTTCCTTTACTTCGATTTTTCTAATCTTTAAAGATGTGCATTGGGTTTGGATTCATGTCTATATAATCTCGGCAACCCACTTAGAACCAATAGCTGTCACTCAAGCCATTTCAAACTTAATTAGAATAATTATATTTAAAATAAATTAAATTTTTTGATACGTCGTACACACACATTCTATCTGATGTTGAGTATTAGGTAACGTGTGCAAATTGTCAAATCTATTTAAGAGAATTTTTTTAAAAAATATTTTATGTATCCACACAAATATAAATTTAAAATTCTGTGACCAAGTTGTGATATTTATACTTCCTTCCATGACAACACTCATGAGTTATTTAAGCGTTTTAAACAAATTAAAAAAGAATGTTAGAACATAAGTAAATTTAATGATATAACCCGTTTAAAATAACTTATAAAAAATTTTTAATTATAATTAATAAATATAAATTAAATATATAAGAAGAATTTTATATAATTTTATATAAAACGTGTTTATATCGGTGAAGTCAAAATGTTTGAATAAACAGGGTCAGTAGGGCCCGCTGATCACAGAGCTGGGGAGGAGTATCAACATCCAAAACCTATGCAGTCTCAATCCCAAATTGAAACCGCGCGATTCACCGTGCGATTTTTTTTCTTTTTGAAAGATCCGGAGGAATCCGGAGGCTGTGCTCAAAGTCAAAAGTTTAAATCGTATGCATGTCAGAATGCCTCCTTATTTTCTTTCGAAAATAAAACTCCTATTTCTCCCAGCATTCTTTGAATTTTGAATCTCCTCGCTTGAATAAATCGAGGATTGGTAATGATTAGTTTTTCCCTCTTTTAATGAAAAGGGATATGACGTCAAAGTTATGTAGTGGCTGGTACTAATTACTTTTAAAACGTGCTCAAAAGGTTTTTCTTATTTCAATAAGAGTGTTGATAAAAGAAAATGAATAGGTTTGGAAGTGTTTAGAAATACCCAAAAAAAAAAAAAATATACTACCTCCGGTCCTTAATATAAGACCTTGTTTGACTTTTTGTTTGGTCCTAATTATAAGACCCCAATCCATTTTTTCTCTCATATTTATGTACTCCTCCGGTCCTTATTATAAGACCCAATTTGACTTTTTATTTGGTCCTAATTATAAGACCCAATCCATTTTCTCTCTTATATTATATATTTTTTCCAAGATAATCCTTCTAATAATGATAGTTTTAGCCAATATATTTAATTAGTAAGGATATTTTAGGAATAACAACACTTATTTATTATAAATAACCAACTTAACTTACTTCCTTAATCTCCTCAAATAAGTCAATTGGGTCTTATAATTATGACCGGAGGAGTATTTTTTTTCAAGATAGTCCTTCTAATAATGATAGTTCTAACTAATACACTTAATTAGTAAGGATATTTTAGGAATGACAACACTTATTTATTACAAATAACTAACTTAACTTACGTCCTTAATCTCTTCAAATAAGTCAATTGAGTCTTATAATTAGGACCGGAGGTAGTACTTTTTATCATACCTATTTTATTATAAAATCACTCTTAAAATCATAATAAACATAACTCTTTATGATTAAGGTTCTAAAGACTTCAAGCTCTGGAGGATTCTTATCAACTCAACCATGTTGTTTAGCATTAAACTTCAAAAAAAAAAAAACAAAAGAACTAAGCTAAGCCTGTGATCAATCTTCGTTCTCATCTCAAATTAGGGCATTGTGTTCCTTTCCTGCTCATGGATCCCGATAACCATCTTTGGTATGAGGGGAACAAAAGGGAGGAAAAGACAGAATTTTTTTAGGCTTTGTTTGGTTCAATGGGGGGAGGGAGGGGAGGTTAATTGAGGGGAGAGGAGGGGAGGGGAGGGGAGATAATGGGTTTTGTTTGGTTGGAGGGGAGGGGAAGGGAGGGGAGATTTCTTGTTTGGTTCACAAGGGGAGGGGAGGGGAGGAGATTATAAATTGACAAATATGCCCCTATCTTTATATTTAGACTGATTTATTCTTTTATTATAATATTTATATCAAAATTATGATTTCCTAATTTATCAATTTCAAAAAAACCAATTACCTCACTTATATGTGATAAAAAAATATGAAATAAAAGTATAATATATATGAGAAAAGTGAATGGGAGAAAAAAAAGACAAGACCTTAACTATATAATAATACCCTCCACATATTAGAAAATAAAAAATATATATGATATTAATAGTGTCATTTTATAATTATAATATATATTAATATATATAATTAATTAATATATTAATATATATGCATATTATATTTGTGCGTGTATATAACTGAGCGACCGCGAAAGGAAATGCGCCAAAAAAATATCAAGAGGACACCACTGGAATATTCAAAAAATGACATGGGCATATTTGTCAAGATTCTCATAATATTTCTCTCCCCTCCAAAAAACCCCAATTTGGGAGGGGAGGAGGGGAGGGGAGGGGAGCACAAAAGGACAAATTTTTTTAGCTCCCCTCCCCTCCCCTCCTCCCAACCAAACACATCCTCCCATCCCCTTCCCTCCCCTCCCTTCCCCTCCCCTCAAAAAAACCCCAACCAAACAAAGCCTTAATAAATTTGATTTAAAAATTAAAGAAATGAAGTTAAAAATTTTAATTAATTTATCTTACTCTTTATCTTATATCTTCTTTTTATCAAAATTTATAATCATACTTTTCTAATTTTTTAAAATAATTTTTTAAAATAAATTTTCTTCTCTCTCCTCTCCTCAAGTTCTATCATACCAAATACAGGGTAAGTTGCACTTCGTTTGCTAACTAGATTGATGATGATTAGATGATTGTTATTGCTCATGATGGAAAATTCATTAAAAAAGATATTCATATTTAGTGGGCAACAAACCCAGAGGATACCTATTTTCATCAAATAAATAAATATGGTAATATCAAGATAACTCCCGCTATTAATTTTTCCTTTTGGAAAAAAATACTTTTTTCTTATATGTATTTAAGAAAAATAAAAGAACATTAATCATATTAATTATACACCTATCTATAATAATTTTAAAAGCTTAAGAGAATAATAATTAAAACATTAAGGATATATTAGGAATTTAAAACATAGTTTGATAAATTAATTTGTATATTGACATCTTTAAAGAAATTGTTAAAAAAGGAGTAGCTTAAACACTTCAGAAAAAGAAAGAATTAAAAATAGTTTGGACCCCTAAAACCAAGCGTATATCTCGGTAAAAAGGACTAATATTAATGAAAACTTAAACGATAGCAGCTCTCATCATTCACACCAGAATTTATCATTGTTTTAATCCAAACAAATATTAATTAATACTCCTCCGGTTCTAAATAAGACTTATTTTGTAGTATATATTGTAAAATAGATTTTATATTTACAACTGGAGGGACTATAATCAATATTCAACATTTAATATGAAAAAGTAATTTAATTTTTTATACAAGTGAGCCTAATTGCCTCGAAAAATTAAATAAGGCGCGCAGATTGGATTCAAAACGCCCCCGAGAGCGTTCAGTGGGGCTGAAGGATCTCTAGCTCTTCCGAAGGTAAGGACAAAAAGACTATGTGAGAAGAATTAGTTCATTTCCATTTTAGGATCTTTATGTTTCAGGAATCATACAGCTACTGAAGTTTTCATTGATATTCTTATTCTTCTGGTTGAATTATTTGCTCGAGTCACAGGTAGACCATAACAGCGTCTCCCTATCTGCAATTTGCAATGTATTGTTACTGTCTTACTGATGGAAGTGTTGTTATTTGGAAACAATGAGAATTTTCTGCTGTAAATAGTGTTTGAATTTGGGGTGAAAGAAGAATCGAAGCTGAGTAGACGATGATTATGAAGGAGAGAGATGAGGAACTTGTGCTATTCCTGGAGATGCGAAGAAGGGAGAAGGAGAATCAACGCAACACTTTTCTGCTCCTTCCTAACTCCGAAAATGACGTCGTCGACGCTTCTCATTTCGGTATTCCTTTCTCTTCTCGTGTTTGTCCTCCTTTCATGATATGAATGCTGTAATCTCAAATACTCTTTAATGGTTCTGCAGAATTTGGTCGTGGTATTTCTAGTGCAGTGTCTTCAGAGAATGACATGTCTGATTATGACTGGTAATTCTCGGCTATATCTTTCACAATTTGTGCATAATGGTTTTTGGTGTAGCAGATTTAGATTACGTTTCTGTATTGACGAGAAATTTCAATTTGGGTAATCAGGCTTCTTCCGCCACCGAGTACGCCTCTTTTTCCTACTTTGGAGAAGGAACCACGGATTTCAGCAAAAGGTGAAACAGAGATTTCGAAAGCTCGAACAACAGCGCTAAAGCCTCGGGTAACATCTCCTGAATGATGAGACATTCAATCTGCTTGCTGTGTCTTTTGCTATCACTTTAGTCAATTCATTGGGCATCTTGGAATTAGAATTTTCATTAAAATAATCTCATGAATGTTAAAATGATCAAATGGTTTATTATATCTGGAACAATTTTACAGTGTTTAACTAAACACAGATAAATAATGCGCTTTAGACCATGCGGTTGTCCTTAAAATATCCATTTGGTTTCCTACTATTGTTGTTTTCCTTATTAAAGCAGGTGTAAGCCCTGTCTATTTAACAAAATTGAATCTTCTGTATTTATGTATTCCCGCGTTCAAAGATAGAGTCACATAGGAGAATGTGAATGAGTGTATTATATCTTGTGTTGCATTGTATATTATAACCTTAGTAGAAGATTTAAATTGGTTTTCTTTTATGTGAATCTTTGTCTCTCATGACCTATCTATATCTCATGTTGCAGGAGACTAATATCATATCAGAACAACCTTCAAGAAGAATTATAGCCTCAAAGACTCATAGAGTGATGCCTAGTCTTAATTCTTCCACTAATGGTAATACGAATAGGAGACCTTCATCACCATTCCGTTCTATATCTTCAACTCTGTCTTCAACAACCAAATCCTCTAAGGCAACCTTAACTTCTGCTAAGCCAGTTAGATCATCCACTCCTATTAGATCTTCATCTGCATCGAAAATGTGCCCTGCACTCGCCAGAAACCCAGCGAAATCACAAGGTTCCCTGCTTGATGCTCCTCCAAAATTGAAGGCTTCATTGCCTGAAAGACCAGCCTCAGCGTCTAGGTATGGTAGATTATCTTCTCTTGGGGACAAAGACAGTAATAGCAATGGAAGACCAAAAAGGCCAATCTTGAGGAGTAGATCTGGTTCAATTAATGATGGTGAAAACGATAGCCCAGATATGATTGGGACAAAAATGGTTGAAAGAATAGTGAACATGAGAAAACTGGTACGACCAAAGCTTGATGCAGGCCATCATTCCGCAGAACATAATACTTCTGGCAAGTCTGATAGGTCAGGATTTGGAAGATCACTCTCTAACAAGTCATTAGATATGGCAATGAGGCATATGGTATGTCCAAATATTCATTGTGTGATGAAGTAAGTTATCTTTGTTTCGTACAAAAGGCAATATTAATGACAAGTTGTGTTTGGTTTATTTCATACAGGACATAAGAAGCATCCAGGGTAGTTTGAAGCCACACGTATGAAACATGATACTTCAAAGGAAACAAGCAACTGCATTGTGTATTTTGCGGTACTATAACATTTGAGATATTCATCAGTTCATCACTGCCCTTGCCGCTCTATCTGGATGTGGTGGTGTGAAGGTAGCATAAATGGGTTAATGGTAGGGAAAAACAAATTGCCTGTGTTGTTATAGAGTACTGCATCAATTGTTTGGGGTGTGAGAACTGTTGGTAGTTTGCACTGAAGATTGGCAATTAGAATTGTCACACAATATCTCAGGGATCAGTCTAATATTTTTATTCGATGTGATATATTTTTAATTACATAAATATTTTTTGACCGAATATGTTTTATTATATTGGATTTTAAGGAAATCTATGAAATATGTAAAGTCACACTTCATTATCTGTGAACAATGTGGTGCTGGTTTCCCACAGGAAATCCTTGATCCTTCTTAATCCTAGAGATTAGTAGGAGAAAAATCAAATTATGCAACTAAATTCTCTGAACTTAAAATTACTATAAAAACAAAGTTATTTATATGTTCTTTAGCAAAAAAAAAAAAGTATTTATTTGTTAATTACTGCTAACTAATTAATTCTCTGGACCCCTCGTGAGTTGTAGAATATTTGGTTAGCACATCAATGTTTTGCCCACTGTTAGCCCATTTTATTTTTAGGGTTTTTTTTTAAAAGTATTTTTTCACAAATCGAGAAAAACTCTCCCATATATTTACTTTGTAGACTGTAAAATTATTTCTAAAATTATGATTTTGTTTTTATCCAAACAATCCCTTATATTTACTAAAATATAAAAATTAAATTCAAATAAGTAATAATATATTAAATTATATAATATATATTAAATTATGTATATAATATTTATTATATATATTTGTATTTGTTATTAGAAATATTATATATATTTTTGCATAAAAATTTGTGAAAATTGCAATGAGGTCCAATCCAAGGAAATTAAATACAAAAAAGTCTTTTGAAATTATCAAATTATTCTGAAATTTCAAGGGACTTTATTGCAAGAGAATTTATTTGTTTAATTATCAAATTGCCCCTTTTTTTTTAAGTTCACATTAACAACTGAAAGAGCAGTCATTGACAATTTAAGAGGTAAGAATTAACAACTATTGCTGCAAGGATTTTATCTTCTCCTGCTGGTAGGTGCAGATCTGCAGTCCACGCCTTGTCCTCCCAACGCCATTTCATTGGTGTGTGTTCGGGAATACCTCCAAGATGGGAGGTGGATAGGATGATCTCCTCCATGAATGTGTTCTTTCAGTAATTTTATCTTCATATACACCTGTAATTAAAAAAGAAGAACATTAAAAAGAAAAGAGAACTTGCCGACAGATATTCTCCTATAATCGTGGCCTTTATGGTGGGCGTCCCTATTGCCCACCAAGATGTAGGGGACATGAACCTCCAAGTCCCTATTTCGGAGTCCTAGTAGCCATAGTTGCACAGACTTATTCTTTCAAGGAGGAGATTTCCTTCAGCGAACCAAGCCTTCTCCTTTAGAGATTATTGCAAGGGGATAGCTCGGATTGGACCTCCGAGTTGAAGCGACGTCAAGCTTAACAATGGTTCCCTTGATGTTTGCGACCTTAAAAATGAACTTAGTATGCCGACTTTAGTATGCTGACTCTGAAATAAATAACCAGAAGAGAGATTTAAAAAAAAAAGAAGAAAAGCTAGGAAAAATAATTTGAACTCAAAATATATCTTTGGTTCCTCTAGCTCAGGCTCCTGCTCAGGCTCCTACACATGATATGTAGAAGCTCGCAAAACCGGGAGGTGAAGGAGAGTCATAGGTGAGGGGCTGACGATGCGCCTAGGCGTGAATGTTAAGATGGAAGGGCGATAGATTATTACAGCTTGTTTCGGAGAGGAATATAGGAAAGATGTTGGGAGGAATTAAGATGCCATGATAAATTTTTTTATCCTTTTGGTACAAACAATTGTTTAATATCAGGCTATGCCTTTTCTCAAAGAACACACAGGTATATATATACACAGTGAGCGCATATACAGTCTCACGTACGTAATTATTTCATTATATTGACCTTAATTATAAATTAGGTTCTGATACCATATGCAAGAAAAATAATACATATATATTAATACCGTGTGTAAGGAAAATAACACATATATGTTATTCAATCAAACTAAAAATTTGAATCAAAGCCAAAATTGATGCTCTCAAAATGTTCCACATAATTTTTAAAATTAAAAATTGGATAAGCTAAAGGAGTATCAGAAAAGGAGCTAAGCAAAGTGAGTCAGGAAATCAAACTCTAATATCAAGTGTAATTATTTAATATTAGACTATGCCTCTTCGCTGAGAACACACAAGTATGTATATCCATAGTCAGTGCATATACAATCTCACGTACGTAATTATTTGATTATTTTTGTGGGTTACTTTAATTATAAATCAGGTTCTGATACCATGTGCAAGGAAAATAACACATATATGTTATTCAATCAAATCAAAAATTTGAATAGAAAATTGGATAAATTAGATAAATTGATACTCTCAAAATATTCCACATAATTTTTAAAATAGAAAATTGGATAAATTAAAAGAGTATCAGAAAAACGACTTAAGCAAAGTGAGTCAGGAAACCAAATTCTGATATCACATGTAAGAGAAACAACACATATATATTATTAAATCAATCCAAACTATGTACATGTATATGATATTCGAAAGAATTATATCAAAAAAATTATAAATATCTCTAGCTATTAGCTTAATAAATCTGATGAAGATCTCAATTTAATTAATAAAGAACTATAAAGCCAAAAACACCTTTAAAGTAAGTTAGCTAATCTTAACAAAAAACGATTGAGCCTGATATTGTTTCAAATTGATGGTCCAACTGAAAGTATCCCCATAATATGGTGTCTTAGGAAAAAGGTCTAGTATTTGCAATTATGGCTGCTATGATCCTAGAACAGGGACTAAGCCTTTCATTTCCTTTACATAGAGGTGAGTGATGGGCAGGCCTTCCGTCAAGGCCATGACAATAGAAAAATATTAGTTGGTAAGTTTAAAATCAGAGGAGAATATATATTTCGGTACTACTTTTTCACATTTTAAAGTTATTTAATCTGTTTTCTCTCTTTTTTTAAAAAATCTTTTTCTTCTTTCTTATTATAAGTGCATGTTAGCCTGGAGGTAGTAAAAGACTACATTGAGGAAGAGGATATTATATTATCCATGCCTAGTTTTGTTGGTCCTCCCAAGCATACACTAATGAAATGGTGTTAGGAGGACCGTGCGTGGATTACAGAGTTATATCTACTACTCGGAAAAAAAAAACAGAGCAAATAATTATTTGATAATCTATATTTTTAAATATGAAAAATTTGTTCTCTTCTGTCTATGACAGACATCTTACAAAATTTTAGACTATACCCGATAAATGATGCATATAAACAGAAAATCTTACAAGTTTGCTGGTCAACCTAAATTACCACACCAAGGATTTTGGTGTTTATTGTCTTTATTCCCTCAACAGCATAGGATTTAGATCCCGATAGGTGACAATCGAAGTGAAGGACACGTTATGGTACATTTCTCTGTCGGCTCTTTGTTTTAAACTGCGATTTATCACTATAAATCCATCATTCTAATCACTTGAATTTTTAATTGTCATCTGCAATAACCAGTCCACATCTTTAGGCACTTTTTCCAGCAAGAAGTTAAAGCAGCAGAGTTTTCTTACTGCTTAGGGAATCCTGAATTTGATGATTAAGACGCACTTCGTCAAGATCAAAGAAATATTTCCAATATCCCAGGAATAAACAAAAAGTCGGACAATCCTTCTATGGCTTTAGGAGTATGTTCAATTATCTTGGAAGTAGTTGGGATTGGATAAACAAAAATCACCAGGCACAAAACTCAAGTTCGAAAATAATTATGTTAGTAGTCTCGAATTTAAGCTTTAATTTGAGTATATAGTCGTGTTTACAAAACTCAAGTTCGAAAATAATTATGCTAGTATGCTGACTCCGAAATAAATAAGCAGAAAAGAGATTGAAAAGAAGAAGAAGAAAAGCTAGGAAAAACAATTTGAACTCAAAGTATACCTCTTGTTCCTCTGGCTCGCGCTCCTGCTCAGGCTCATGCATATGATATGCAGAAGCTCGCAAAACTAGGAGGTGAAGGAGAGTCATAGGCGAGGGGCTGGCGGTGCGCCTAGGCATGAAAGTTAAGATGGAAGGGCGATGGACTATTACAACTTGTTTCGAAGAGGGATGTAGGGAACATGTTGGGAGGAATCAAGATGTCATGATAAACTTTTTTATCGTTTCGCACAAACAATTATTTAATATGAGGCTATGCCTCTTCGCAAAGAATACACAGGTATGTATATACACGGTGAGCGCATATGCAGTCTCACGTATGTAATTATTTCATTATTTTTGTGGGTTTATATTGATATTAATTATAAATCAGGCTCTGATACCATGTGCGAGGGAAATAACACATATATGTTAATGCCTCTAAGATGGGAGGTGGATAGGATGATCTCCTTTTCGTGAACGTGTTCTTTCAGTAATTTTATCTTCACATGCAGCTGCAATTAAAAAAGAAGAACATTAAAAAGAAAAGAGAACTTGCTGACAGATATTCTTCTATGGTCATAGCCTTTACGGTGGGCCTCCCTATTGCCCACCAAGATGTAGGGGACATGAACCTCCAAGTCCCTATTTCAGGGTCCTAGTAGCCATAATTGCACAGACTTATTCTTTCAGGGAGGAGATTTCCTTCAGTAGACCAAGCCTTCTCCTCTAGAAATTATTGCACGGGGATAGCTCGGATTGGGCCTCCGAGTGGAAGCGACGTCAGGCTTAATGATGGTTCTCCCTTGACGCTTGCAACCTTAAAAGTGAACTTAGTATGACAATTCCAGTATGCTGACTCCGAAATAAATAAGCAGAAAAGAGATTGAAAAAAGAAGAAGAAAAGCTAGGAAAAACAATTTGAACTCAAAGTATACCTCTTGTTCCTCTGGCTCGCGCTCCTGCTCAGGCTCATGCATATGATATGCAGAAGCTCGCAAAACTAGGAGGTGAAGGAGAGTCATAGGCGAGGGGCTGGCGGTGCGCCTAGGCATGAAAGTTAAGATGGAAGGGCGATGGACTATTACAACTTGTTTCGAAGAGGGATGTAGGGAACATGTTGGGAGGAATCAAGATGTCATGATAAACTTTTTTATCGTTTCGCACAAACAATTATTTAATATG